TCAACTATTGCGACACGAAATGTTGTAGGGAATTTACTTGTACAAGTAAGAACATGATGCAAATTGTTTTCTTTAAATAAATTTTCAATAGAGCGTAAGTTATACTTGCAATATAGGTTACTCAATATCAAGTGAGACTCATCGATTTAGACAACCGAAGACTGATTTCTCAATGGGACCCTCCGCATAATAGTAAGATCACTGTTGCTGATATTAATCCCAGTCAAGTTGTGATAGCGATTAGTGGTGGAACGTTGATCTATTTTGAGGTGCAAGGAATAGAACTCGTTGAAGTAAAGTAAGTCTATATCAAATTTATTCACGCATCTGTTACAAAATTAATTATGCTCTCAAATTAAATATTATGTAGACATAGGAAATTGCAATATGAAATAGCATGTATGAGCATCAATCCACTAGACCCTATACACCCAGAAAGTTCATCAATTGTCGCCGTAGGACTTTGGACAGTGGTTGGCGTGCAAGTGTTAAGATTACCATCATTAGAGATAATCTCCGATCAACCACTTGAGGGTGTTTCCATGACCCGTTCTGTGCTCTTGTCCACGTTCGAGAACAATCATTACCTTTTGGCGGCGTTAGGTGATGGGCAACTGTTCCATTTTATCCTTGATCCAACAACTGGTCGATTATCGGAGAGAAAACAGCTATCACTTGGAACTCAGCCCGTTATGCTCACTTCTTTTACTTCTAATGGATTGAGTCATGTTTTTGCTGCGTCGGATAGACCAACAGTTATTTACAGCAGTAATAAAAAATTGCTATATTCTAATGTCAACACAAAGGTATTTACTTATTTAAAGGCTAATATATTTCACGGAAGTGTAATAATATAAACACCAATACTTTGGTTTTCTTTAATAGGATGTTACATATATGTGTCCGTTCAAGCCGGCATCTATGGCGACTTCCTTGGTAATCACACATGAAGGAGGATTGACAATAGGCAGTATTGATGAGATACAAAAACTTCACATTCGAACAATACTATTAAATGAAATGCCCCGTCGTATATGCCACCAAGAAAGCACGCATACACTTGGAATATTAACTATAAGGCTTAATTTGAATGATGACGAAGAGAATTTAAGGTATTTCAAAATATTAGACGATCAAACGTTTGAATGTAAGTTAAATAAATTTGTTTTTAAACTTTAGTTTGGTTGATAACAGCTGCATTTTATTTTTATTTTTACCGCTTAATCAATTTTATTTCTTGATATTAGTTTACGACTCATTTGAAATGCAACCCAATGAGGATGTTCATTCC